GCATGGCTGGCTGGGGAATTCTGGGAGTTGAAGTCCACCTATCTTAAAGTGGCCACGGTTGAGGAGCACCGAGGTAAGGGGTAGCACATAGATAGGCCTGTGTTGTTGGCAGAGAGTCTCCAGTACTTTAGATTGGCAAGGGGTCTGATTCCTAGTTGCTTAATAAGAGCAAGCTGGTCAGTCACTTTGTGCACATTTATTTAGCACTTTTTCATTTCTGATCCTGTCTCTTCTTGTTTTACTGTGGTGCGCACGCTTAAGTCATCTGTTCTCCTGACATTCCTCATCTTTTTCAATTTCTCTTGACGTACCCAGCTCTCTCTCTTCCCCATAAACAAATTGAACAGCCTGCTGCTATACAGCCATTTTTGGTTTTTTCAATTTTCATCCCTCATAACAGATCATCTACTGTTGCCTTCCAACATTTGTATGTCTTAAAATTTCTCTAGCTCTTTTTCCATCTCTATTCAATGACCAGTATATGTGCATTCATCTATTTACTCTACTTTTAATCATTTATGTAGAACTTGCAGTTATTTGCCCAAATGTCCCTAACAGATACAACTACCTTAGTCTTTGATACATTAATTTTCAGATCCATACGCCTTGATGCATCATACACTGAGCCTATTACTTGCGGCAAACCATTCAGGTTTTGTGCATACAAAATTATGCATACATTCGCATCGCCAACCAACAAACCTTTAATATCACTGCAAACATTTCTTATACATATATCAAAAATATGTTAAAAAACCAAAGGGAAAGACATCACTTGTCTGCTACCTGTTCAATGCTGAACCATTCACAAAACGTTCTCATACATGTTTTGCTTCCATCATACGCTACTTTTACTGCATTTAGCAGTTAACCTCCATGTTTATGCAAAGCCTTCCATAATTTGAGCCTATTCAGTTTATCATACACTTCCTCTAAACAAACATACAATAAATTGTTTCACATTCGCACATTTCTCAGTGGCCTGCTGAAAACTAAAAAAAATCTGCTTTCCCCCACCCCTGGAATAAAGGGACACCCAAATTTTGCTCATTATCACTTGCATCAAGAGCCCTGCTCGGTTACAGGGAGCGTCCACCTCTCGGGCAACACTGTCTACTTCCGCCTGAGTCATCATCCAAGCCAACAATAAACCTTCCATCGTTCTCGCCTTTTTCTATCCGTGGCTTTGCGCTTGCGCCTCCACCCAACCCAGCCGAGGGCCACTGTCGTGACCCGGGCGATAATGGTATAAAATGACAAAAGTTGGGTGTGATTAGCACCCACGTAGATCTCTAGTGCCTCGCCTCTAATTTGCTAGCTAGGTCAGGATGTAAGAAGTGGAAGGTTTTGCTCAATTGGACAGAGGCAACACTCAGCTTCCCCAGAGCAGCTGGCTTATATTTATCCTCTACTGTATTCTTTAAAATGAGCCTACTGTACACAGGAGAGGAAGAGAAAGGAGGAGAAGCAAAGCAGACCTATCTATCAACTTCCAAGCAGAGGCCCATATGATCTCTTTTCAGTAAGCCTCTCTGAAATGCCTTGTGTTTTGGGCACAAGCTTTGTTAAATTTTGTCATTCAAGTCCTGGAGAGGAAAATCTAAAGCATCTTCTTTTCTATTTTTTTCCAGAATTGGGCTGAAGGGAGAAGTCCTTAGCAGAAGGGTTAAAAACTCCAGATGGACAGAAAGATTGCCATCATTCAAGACACCAACCTGACTGATGTCATAAATATGTCTATCATAAATATCTTTTACCAGAGAATCCTTGGGAGAAAGGGTTAGCCAATGCGATTTAAAGTACCCTCCCCTCTCCTCCACCCCCTAATTTCTAAGAAGCAGTTAACCTAAAATCCTGAGGTAGCTACATGGTAAAATGTGGAACTATTTGAGAAGGGTGGTTTGGTTTTTTTCCTTCCAGTTTTAGGTCACTGAGGGTTTTTTGTTGTTGTTGTTGTTGACCTCAGCTTTCTTTCTGCTTTTTGCCAGGTGGGACGGACATTGTCCTCCATATATAGGAAGAGTATCATTCCTTCTAATAGCAACTCAAGTTTATAAGCCTTGATAGAATGACAGGCAAAGCAGTATCCTTCAGAAACAAGGATGGGGGAATCCCAACATTTGCAGAAGACAAATTTGTTAAGAGGCGTTATCTTAAAAAGTTCCACACACCAAGGATCAACAGATTTGCTCTATAGGTACAGGAGGAAAGGGGTTGTTTCACATTCACCCATTTCTCAGTGGCCTGCTGAAAAATAAAAAAAATCTGGTTTCCCCCACCCCTGGAATAAAGTGACATGTCTTGTACCCATTTAGAATTTGGCCCAACCCCTTTTCTATTCGTTTTTAGATTAAAAAACTCATCCCTCTGTTTTTTTCTGCATTCACTGTTGCTACCCTTTCCCCTAATCATCGAGCACAGATATATTCCTCACACACGTTAAACAAGTTACACCATTCCCATCCCATTTTTAACATTTCTCCAGTTATACTGTCTAATCCTTGAGCCTTGCTATTTTTTAACATTTTCACAGGATTTTTTACTTCCTTTTCATCATTTTTTTCTTGGACACTAACATTTACAACATTTCAGTTCTACTGATTGACATATCACTGTAATTCCCGTACAAATCTCTGAACTATCCTTTCCAGCATTCCTTTCCTTTAGTTTCATTCCAAATCCTTTCCTCGCTTTCATTTTAGATTCTGTTCACTCTGGCAGGAGCTCTTTGTTTAGATCTCTTCCCCACTTTGATTTTTTTTTATTTCAATCAAAACTGCTTGCATTTTTTCTGCCTCCTATATGCCTAACTATTCTTGCTCTTTACATTCTTTGCAAGTATCTTTTTCCTCTCTGTTCACATTATAGAAGTTATTTCTCTGATCCTTGTTTTTCAGTAATCATTCTTGAACGTGCCTTTTTTTTCTTACCCACAGTCTATTTCCCATCATTCTACCAAGCATCTTTTTTCATACTTCTCATTGGCATAACTCCACACGCTTATGGGCATTCCCTACCATAATCTGTTTTTGCTCTGTTCCAAGCAATTTCTACGTCCTCTTTCTCTACATCTATTTGTCATTCAGTCTGCTGGGATATTACTTTATCATCTAATACTTTTCACACAGGGCACATAATTTGTCTTTGTGATTTACTTTCACAAATGATAGCAGCCACTAATCATGGTTTAAACTATAAATCTTATCTTAGGTTCTATTTGCCCAGGCAAACATTTGCGCAGTTTCCCTCTTCCCTCATCTTCTCCCCAAATCCCCAGATGCTATCCCAAATTGTGCTTTGGTTCTTTTTTTTTTTTGGTAAGGGGAATAATGTCCCAACCAGTTTTGGGGTTGGATATTACATAACCCGTGGCTGGCCAACTGACTTAATGATAGTAATCCATACCTTGCTTATGTTCCATCTTGACTGCTGCCGCACGCTTTCCATGGGGCCTGCCCTTGCAGAATAATTGGAAATTGCAGTTGGTGCAAAATATGGCAGCTAGGTACATATAGCAATCGCCTGCACTGAAAACTCCCTGTTGGGCACAGTTTAAGGTGCTGGCTTTAGCCTTTAAAACCCTGAATGGCTTTGGGTTTGGCTGTCTCTCCTGCTGTGATCCTGTCTAGTGATTTAGATCGGCAATCGTTTGGACATGGGTCCTGCTACTGCAAGCTTGCCTTTTGAATATGTTAGAGAGGATCTTTTCTTGTAAGCTCTCACGCCATGGAATACACTCCTCAGGGAGGGGCACTGTGCCCCCGCTTTTCCAGTATTTTGGAAAACAGCAAAATCCATTGCTTCGACACAGGTGTGAATTGTTAGTTAAAGTGGCTTTGGATTTTAATGCTATTGATTTAAATTTCTCATTATTTTGATTGTTTTGTGTGTGTGGGGGTGTTGTGTGCATGTTTTGTATCTTGTATTTTGAATTGCTGTGTCAGATGGCCAGGAAGGAAGAAAATAAATTTAATAAATAATATATCTAAAACATCACACACTGCTCAGCTCCAGGAGGCAGGGCAGCCCAGTACTGCAAGTCCTGAGATGTTCATTATGTGACTGTATTCACATTCTATTCCCACTTCAGACTCAGGCATGATAGGGTTTGTGGGCTTTGGCAAGGATGAATCCAACCAATGGTTAACCAAATTGTGGTTTAGAAAATAGTCTTAATTTGTAGGACATGTCTTGCAGGTGGAACTCAGAAGCAGTCTAGATGGGCCTAGGGAAAAACCTTGACACTTGAAATATTTAAAACCTGCTGTAAATGAAAATATGCCTTGATATACAGAATTATAAGTACCCTTCATGAGGGTTTTCTTTCTTTCATGGTGAGGCTTGAGTTCTTTGATAGACTGTTAAGAGTTAAGATATAAAAAGTTGAGATCTACAGCCTTACTGGAATGTGTGAACCTGGCCACTGTGCAAATGACACCAGGATAACTATGGGTTCTTCAAATCTTCATTATTTGAATGTTCATGCAAATTTGATGGCACTTTGTCAGGCTTTGCTGACAACAGAAAAAGCTAAGGAAGGTTGAACTCCTAAGACGAGGGTTTGCCAAAAAGTGCTAGGGCTGTAGACTCCACTGAGAAGTTGAACGGAGAAACCATTTTTTTTTTTTTTTTTACTGTTGCCAAGAAAGCAGCACAGATGTATCCATTTATTTCCCAGAGTCAAGCTTGACTTGAGGGAGATCTTACATTTAATATTCAGATCACCCCAATTCATCATCAATTCACTACAGTACTTTTATCTTCATCCATAGACCGTGCTGTTAAAAATAATAAATGCAGTACAGTACTTGATAACTTTCCCCCTCCTTTTAAAGATGTGATACACCAGTTACCTTTTAGGAAACTAAAATAAATATTGAATGAGCTCTGGGGACACAAATAGCTCTTATCTCTTTGCTCTCCTTTGCTGAGTGCCAACTATTTATATAAGCTTGAGCTAGCTCTGTGCGGCTGCTAGTCCTGGATTATCCCCTGGCCTGGGGAACCCCACACCTCTTCCTAGTGATCTCAGGACTACCGAGTCTCTTGAAGAAGGTGATTTAACACCCCATCTGCCCCACCTCAGCCTCTTAGAGTAAAGGTTAGCTGCTAAATCACTGTTTTTCAAACTTGGCAACTTGAAGCTGTGGACTTCATGCTGGCTGGGGAATTCTGGGAGTTGAAGTCCACCCATCTTCAAGTTGCCAAGTTTGAAAAACACTGCTAAATGAATGATGAAACCATTATGAGCAGAGAAGTACTTTCTGCTTGAAGCTACTAAATATGAAGAAGTGCTTGAAAAAGATCTCCTGAGCTGCACAAGGATTTTCCTCTCATCTTTTCTTTTTTAATTGCTTCTTCCAGTCCTAAACTGTTAAGCTCTAATGATTACAACTGTGTAAGAAGTGGTCTGATTCTCTGCTTGCCGGGGGGTAGAGTGGAGACTACTCTATCACACTGGCTGGAGGCACGCAAGATGCTAAGCCATGGTTTAGTTAGACCCAACGTTTATATATGCTGCAACAAAATTTGTTGTGATTCAGCACGTTGTGTAAATGCAGGCGGGTGATGATTTAATGTATTTTGTACCTGGTCCCGGTGGCTTATTTAATAAACCATAGCTACTCAAACCATGACTTATTATAATTCCTTGGGTAGATGGCCGATTACATAAAATTGTTGGATAAAAAATAAGTAAATGACGTACAAAAATAAGAAGGCGGTGGAGGTTACGGGTGAACCCACATCGCCTCAGCCACCTTCCACCAATCGGTTTGCCAGAATACTTTGTGACGTCAGATTTTATTTTCCCATTAGTTGTGCTGGTAAAGCAAAAGCTCCTATGAGAGCCCCGCCTTTATCTTAGCGAACGTTGATTGGCTGACGTATCTGTCCGTTTTCTATACTGGCCGAGGGCTGCGCGAGATTTGCTAGGATTTACGGAACAGGTGAGGGGCTTTTGGTGAGAACCTTTTGCAAGTGAAACGCTGAGTAAGGCTCGAGGTAAGTGTAAGATTTCTTTTAGAGGCACGGATCTGTTATAGTGCATTTCTCATGACAGCGCAGGATGTTAGGGATTTCTGCGCAAGGTCCTGGTAACCCCGTCCCGCTGATTTGCTTTTGTGTCCAAAATCCAGGGCGCTCTCCCGTACGGGGAGTAATGGGTGCAATTTGAGTCTCTGAGTTTCGGAGCGGAGAAAGCGGCAGCAAGAATCTTCCGCAGACCATTGCATTTGTTTTATTAGTTGAGGAAAAAAACGTTCAAATTGCGGGCAGCGAGGACGGAAGATTGGCGAAGTGAAAGTTACTCACCATTTTCCTTCTTCAAATTGGAACAGAAGGATAACTCCGAAAAAATTGTTTGTCGGTTGATAAGGGATAAGTAACAAAAAGTAACTTCCAGCTTGTAGTAGTAACTGCTAGGTTTCTAACAGTGAGAGAGAGAACTCATTGTGAATTGTCTGTGGATGTCAACAGGCAGGTTGCTCCCAGCTCTGAATAAGAGTTATGAAGGCCCTCAGAAAAGGTCCACTTTGGGTGCACGGATGGTACTGAATATTGGGAGGCATTGCTTCGAAGCTCTTTGGAGGCTGGAAGTCAGGTAACCCTCCCTCGGAGCTGAACTGTGGCATTTTATGATGGTAGACATGAGAAGCCTCTGCTCGGAGCCCATTCCTTGCTTTCTTAAGGAACATGCTTGTTCTAGGAATCAATGATGCGCCGGAATCAGCTCATCCATCGTAGTCATTTGTGTGCAAGGAGCAGCTGTATAGGTTATATAAACAAATGAGCAAAAAAACTTTGAAGGGGAAAATACTCTGATGTAAGAAAATAGAGTCTAGGTGCAAATGTATTTAAAACCAGTGGGAAGCAAGCTTTTATAAGGATACTTATAAAAGCTTAAAACCACACTAAGTCTTTGGGATGCTCTCTATATATGTTTGGATTTTAGGATAAGTTCTGTTTTTATTTTGTGGGCTGCCAGGCCAAATGAATCTGACAACAGGTTGTGTTTAACCAGTTCTCTGTCTTTAATGCAGGTGGATCATTTTCTTCCACAAGAAGCCCTTGCCTTTTTCAGTGGCTCAGCTCACACTTTCTCAACCGCTATGGGTCTGGAAGCAAAGCCCGTTGTTGTCCACCACCCATACTGGCCTCGGGATTTGGAGCTCCAAAACTATGTCCCAAATGATCGACCCTTATGGCAGATCCTGGCATTCTTATTCTCTGCTTCAGGAATTCTCCTGATATTGGCTTGGTTCGTGGCAGGCTGGCAGAGCAAGACATCGGGCCCTCTTGGAACCTGGCGCTCCTTGATCATTGGCTGGTTTACTGTCTGTGGTTTTATTCATATTGTCATCGAAGGCTGGTTTAGCCTCTACTACATGGAAATCCCAGGGGATCTATCCTTTCTCTCACAGCTCTGTAAGATGTCTGTCTATCTGGGTTCTGTCTCTGAGTTTGGAAAAAACGATGCAGCAGGTTGATATGGGGGAAAATGGGGCAGGAGCATCTGCAGGAGGCCCAAATAGGGGCAAACGACACAGTCTGTCAATACTGTCAAGGCCTTTATTACGTACTTGGGTCAGACTTCAGGACACAAGTATGTGATAGTGGTGTTTGCATGACAGCATCCTTGCACAGGTAGTCTTTGCTTATGTATTTAGAAAGTTTTATTGGTATGACAGCATTCATGTCTTCACTTAATTATTTGTTCTGTCTTCTGGGATAGGAAGTACTTGGAAGAAAAGATGTATGTGGTTTAGGGAATTGCAGACAGGTGTCATTTTTGCACCTTTGGGTGCTCCAAAGCACCCATTTGGCTTTGTATCTAAAGTGCTGGGCAACCCTGTTAGTTTATATCCAGTATAATTAATGAATATCTAAGAAAAATACAGGGAAATACACAAACCCTCCCCACCACAGTTCCTATGGAATTCTTCATTTCTCTACTCAGTAATGTTTCTCCTTTTTTTTTATGTCTTCTTGCTGCTTTCCAGGGAAGGAATATGGCAAAGGTGACAGCAGATATGTCATGTAAGTATCAGCTTTGAAATGACAGACAAGGGTCATTGGTCTTTGTCATATGGACGAGTAAGGACATATTTCTGCAAAGGTCCAGCATTAAGCAATTTTGAACACAAGTACCTGGCCTGAGTGTGGGGGGAGGGAAGGGATGACTTAATTAATATAAGCATAAATATAGCTGAGATGTTCAAAATCTTTGCATGAGTTCTCTATACAGCACAACAAAATTATAGGAATCCCTGCATTTCTTTTTAAGGATTCTAGTCTTTTGGGGGGAAAAATGGTTTGAATTCTACTCATGCACTAAAAGAGGGATGAAATTTGTTTTTAAATGTTTGAGATGAATATTATCAGTGGGGTTCCCCCATCACAGTGGAAGATCTGGTTGGAGAGCATAGCTATACTATTGGCAAGGCTGACTAAATCCTGCATTTTTTTCCTTCCCCCCCCCCTTTTTTTTCACTCATTTTTTTTCTCCTTCCTGCTCAGCCATAGTAAATGAGCCTGGGGAAATAAAATGGCCAAGGCTTGAACAGGAAAAACTTGCATCAGCTCACTTTCCTATCCCGAGCAGATTCTGCGGTTTGGCCTGGGATGTCTTTATTGCCTTTGTGTAGTTTCATGCATCAGGGTAACCAGAATGTCACTCACTTGGTTTAGCTCAGCATGATGTACCATTTGTAAGCTTTGATTCATGGCTTAACATAATGTGCATTCCATTGCCTACTTCGTCAAATAAAATGAAGTATTCTCCTAAATTGGCCAGTAGTGCTCTCTCTCTCTCTCCCCTGGTGCTCCCTCCCTCCAGGTTTGAAGACAATTGGGATGTTTTGGGACTTCCAAGTGACTTTTGTTTCATTTTTGTGTCTGCAGAGCAGATAATTTCACAGTTTGCATGGAGACCATCACTGCCTATTTTTGCGGTCCCCTCAGTCTTTGGACTGCAGTAGCGTTTCTTTCAGGCCAGTCCCATCGATATGTGCTGCAGCTAGTGGTGTCAGTAGGTAGGTATGCAAGGCAAATGCAAGTCCAAATGCTCAAGTATTCTGACTCTTAGTTACCTCTCGGTATGCTCTAGTGATAAGCCTGTGGTTCTCTTGGGTGTCTGTGAGGAGGCGAGGAGAAGCAAAGGAAGATGCATGTGATGGAAGTCATCATGCAAATGCTGCTTCTTGTGTCACAGTTTGGTGTAAGAAGAGCATGGATGACAATCAGTTCTATGATTATATTGTTTTTCCTGCTAAGACGCTCTCTTTTGTGGGAGAATATGTCAGGGTATGTAAATGTTCATGCAATCTTTCAAAAGCAATGAATTTAATATGTTTATCCTCTGTTAACTTTCCATGCATGTGACTGCATTTGCTATTTGGCTTGGTTAATTCTGATGTTTTCTTTTCATCCTACTTTAATCAGTCATCTTGTCTCTCTATCTTTAACCACAGGTCATCTATATGGAGACATTCTGTACTTCTACACTGAATACCGCGATGGCTTTAGCCATAGTGAGATGTGGCACCCAATGTACTTCTGGTTTTATTTTGTCTTCATGAATAGTCTGTGGGTTATCATTCCCTCTATTCTCATCTGGGATGCCTGGAAGCACCTCAGCACTTGCCAAAGAGTGGTGGATGCTAGCAAATCTAAGCAACATTGATCTCTTGCAGAGGAGGTCATACTGGACGGTACTTCCAGCCATTCGGAGATTGATCTCCTACTTTATGCTCCTCCTCCTGTCCCTCTGCACTTGTTTAAATATTTTCTGTGGTTTCTCTCCCTTTTCAGATTTTATGTTGAATTGATGGACAAACACCACCATTGATGGTGGCCATTCTCTTCCCCTTCTTTAAGTGTTCGTAGGTCTAAGGTTAAGACTGCAATTTTATCTTCGTATGACTAAGCTCCTTTGTGGTCAGGAGGCTTTACTTCTAAATAAATGTCATTCGGGTTAGGTGACTCAGCTAATGCTGCCTTCGTAGTACAAATCAGTGTTGAAGAGAGCACTGCTACAGACCACATAGGTAACTTTGTGTCCCTTGATACCTGGAGCTATAATCACATAAGTCTGCAGGGAGAGCCCCACATTTAGTATTCATAAAACTGGAATATGGAGGCTATGCAGGAAACATTCAGTCTCTTCCCTATTCTCGGTTTAGGGCCAAGCAGAAGGTAGCTTTATAGGAGTTCACAATTTGTTTCTGTCCATATAAAGAGATTCCACAGCTTGCCTTGAAGCTTTTTTTCTTCCCATGTGGAATAAATAGCCGGTGACTGGCTTGAACTGGGAAATATTATCTGGCAGCTGCCACCCAAGAATTATAAATGCTTTGAGGTAGAGCAAAGAAGAAGCTATCAGATCTCCATACCTAAGCTCTATTCCTAAGGAACTGCTGGAGTAGGTTCTTAAGAGTGTAGTGGAAGCATAGGAGAAAATACTTTGACATCACCGCTTATTTTTATTCATTCTTTTCTTAACTCAACTGCTTTGACATGTTCAGACATCAGCGTGTGTCTGCAGCAGAAAATCCAGCCTCAAGATTGATATAGAAGTAGACCTGTTGCTGTAGGGGCAAATATTTGCTAAACAATGTTCCAGTTTATCACTGTATCCCAAACTCCACCTCCTTGAGTACCTCTGTACAGTGCTCAACTCTTATTTGTAAACTGAGGCGTGACATTTGAATAAACAATCTCTATACTGTATGGGTTGGGTGAGGCTTCAAAGAAGACAAGAACATCTTGATGGAAATTTTCTCTCCAGATATATTGTGTTTCCTCTGAACTGTTTAAAAGATATGTTAAATGGGTAAATATCTTTTGAAAAATGTAATCAAACTGTAATACTAGGATGTGATTTTAACCATAGAGTTTAATCGTATTATCATACAAAGAACTTTCAATCTTCTTGTGAAAGAGAAGCAGTGACGTATGAGCCACAGTAGACCAATTAGGGAACTCCTTTTTGGCTGGAGTAGAGATGTCTAAAGAACTAAATTTTGGGTTTGCATTTTGCTGTAGTGACTGTAATATTTCAGGGTCTTCCTTGTGTTATGCCTGTTGGCACTGGCTTGCCAGAATAGAAGGCAACTCTGCAGATGCTGAAAGTATTAGAAGACAAATTTATAGTATCTGAGACTATAACGTAGGCTGAGTAGATGTCGTTGGAATGATCAGGAGAAGAGTGCTTCCTTTCTAAAAATGTAATTATACGTACTGTACAAAACAACTGGGCTTAAGTAAAAGCCTTGGATTTTTAAAATTTCCTTTATCCTTCTGGAAAAGAGCACTGAAGAGGTGATAAGGTCACTTTGTCTAAGCTCTAAGAATTAAAAGATGTACTTTATGAAAAAAAAAAAATCCACACTTTCTAAATTAATGTTAAATTGTTCCTTCTGGAAAAGGAAAGAACGACCCTAAACTTGTTTTTATGTATTGCTGAATACCTAGGCATGACAAGCATGCTTCTCAGAAGAGACCTGGCCATCAGTCTTTTCAGTTATCCTGACCGTGTGCTAATCCATGAGCTTTATAGCTGTGATGTGGGGTGCCTCAGGGCTCTCCCACTGTCAGGATCTACGCAAGCTAGAAATCTTAATTGTTTTTCACTTAGTATAGCGATGCATATTAAATGGTTAATGGTAAAAATGTTAATTGCAGGCAGCTTGCTTGACCTGCCATTGAAGTTAGGAGAAAGGGAGGGAGAGGATGCCAGGTGCTGTTATCTCTACAGAGGTGTCTACAAGATCAAGCACTGTGAAAGCCAGTGAAGAATTTCAAGCAGGAAAAGAAAGGAGAAGGGGGGGGGAAATTGGGCTTAAAAAGGTTTTGCTTTGTAGAATTAAGACTCAACAAACTATAGCTGCTGTGCATTTCTCCCAATAAAGAAATCTTTTTAGACTCCAGCGGATTTACTGAACTTTGGGAACGAGTGTGCAGACTCTGACACCCACTCCTCTTTAATGTCTACATGAAACCGCTGGGTGAGGTCATTTGACAGCACATGGTGCGGCAACATCAATACTGACTAGGCAGGCGATGCTTTTTTGATGCTGACCCAATGCCTGGAAGCTGTGAGGGTCTGGATGGGGAGGAACAGGCTCCAACTCCGTAGCTACCTTCTGCTCCAAAACACACTGTCTCTTGTCTGAAGGACCAAGCAGGGCTGCTGGGACAGAACAGAGGGGAAGTTTCTGAAGGGCTACACTGTACACACGCTACATGCATGTTCTAGTGAGGTCCTAGCCAAGGGAGGGCAGGACAAGGATCCCAGAGCTTCAGTCATCTTTTGAGCCCTCTATTACTTCGAGGCCTGTGGTCCACCCATCTTAAAGTTGCTGAGGTTGAGGAACCCTGATCTAGATAGTTGCACTGAACCCTGATCTAGATAGTTGAGCCCACTATTACTTTGAGGCCTGTGCTCCCTAGCTATTCTCTAGATCAGAATTCCTCAGCAACTTTAAGATGGGTGGACTTCAACTCCCAGAAGTCCCCTCCAGCATGAGGAACCTTGATCTAGATAGTTGCAAGAGGACCTTTAGAAAAGGTTAAAAGGCAATCTGAACCCTCTGGGAAGGATGGCAACAGAGCAGCATCTCCTCTGCAAGTATGAGAAACAGAATAAGAAATAGCCCAGATGATAATACGCATTTGAGATCAAATAATATATGTATGCCACCCAATTCTCAACGACTATGGGGGCTCACAACAGTCAAATTACAATAAAATGTTTTTTTAAAAAAAGATGGCAAGCCCAACGAAGAGAGGGATTTCACTCTCCCTTGCTGAAGGCTTCCAAAAAGAAAAAAGGAAAGGAAAAAAAAAGCTTCCAGTGCAACCCAAGATTGACAAGTACATTCACTTCAATGTTCTTGGAGTGCGTGCGTCTGCTTGTTTTTTCTGCTTTTAATTTTGCATGCTACTCTTACTTTGACTCATTACATTCCCAGAGCTAATGTGATTAAAATGTGTTGTATTTTTGTTATTCCCTAAATAAATAATTTCAATACTCTGTGTGTCAGTAAAAATTACTAATTGGGAAAGATTGTTATATGTGTGGTGTCCAGTTTGCTCAAACACGTTTTTGGCTGTTGTTTAAAGAATTCTGCAGATCGGTGGTATTAAGTGGTTTGTCCCACGCTCTTGGGTATGGCGATAGCGTGTTGAAGACAGGGATGTTGTTTATCATTTGCAAATAACCTGTATGCCAGTCTTCCCCATCCAGATTTGCTGAGCCTTCAATTCCAAGAGTTCACAGCCACTAGTGATCCCAAAGACCTGGAGGGTGCCAGGCTGGAGAAGGCCTCTCAGAAGCAAACGCTTCCGGATCCGACCTGACCCGTCAGCGAGAGCCTTGCCGCAGAAAACGGATGCGCTGTCATCGCTACTGCTCGTGAGGACCGCATAATTTGGCATCGTGACATCAGGAAAAAAAGGCTTGGCTTGGTAAAGGGTCTGTTAGCCCAAACACCTTGTTATCATATGATTGTGATGGCCCGAAAACATAACCTGTCTCTCTTCCCCTTCCCGCCGCGACGGGGATGGATCAAGAGCCCCGCTCGGTTACAGGGAGCGTCCACCTCTCGGGCAACACTGTCTACTTCCGCCTGAGTCATCATCCAAGCCAACAATAAACCTTCCATCGTTCTCGCCCTTTTCTATCCGTGGCTTTGCGTTCGCGCCTCCGCCCAACCCAGCCGAGGGCCACTGTCGTGACCCGGGCGATAATGGTATAAAACGACAAAAGCTGGGCGTGATTAGCACCCACGTAGAGCTCTAGTGCCTCGCCTCGTAAGCAACTGGTTCTCCCACTGACCACTTAAGATGCCTCTGAGAAGCCTGGAAGAGCACTCATCTCCCCCGGCAGGTGGTGTTCAGAAGGAAGGCTACCAGATCTGGGCTGCAAATACCCGGGCTTCCGCTAGAGAGCAACACAGTTTTCTGCCCCTTTTTGTGACCATTTGATTGTCTGCCCCCCCCTCGGATAATCCGGTTACAAATTTCCGCTTTTTTCCCATTGTGACTATATTATGGCAATATAGGGAGGTCGTGACGTCAAAGGGAATACTACCTCTCATGTTTAGGTATCATGGAGGGGCAACACCCGATCACCCTTTTACTGGGCTCAATTCTCGTTATTTTGCCGATTATTTCCGACTAAGTCGGAAGTGTTTTTTTTTTTTAAAGACTGCTGATCGTCACTTTCCCCGCCCTTTATGCCATCCTACAAAGCCTGCCGCTTAACCCATGAGCTGCCGGGAGCTTTGGCTTGCACTCTAGGCACCATACAGCGCTTCCACTTTTCTGCTCTGCGCCTTTAAGATTAAGTTGATGAGCTCAGCGCAGAGGCGACACGCCGGCGAAAGCGGAAGTCGTGGGCGGGGGAACGTGATGGAAACGGTGCTCTCTCCCCCCTCCTTCCCCTTGCGCGAGAGCACCCGCGAACTGGGTGGGTGACGGCACGAGAGGCGCCCCCGGGCTGGGTGACGTAACGGGGGCGGGGGCTGTAACTGCCCCGGCGCGCGGTGCCTCCGCCCCAGAGCGAAGGTGGAGGGGTCGGGATGGCAGGGGTGGCGGCCCGGGGGGGAGCAGAGGCAACCCCGCTGCCAGCTCCGGGAGGGGGTGGG